GAAAAAAAAAAAAAAAAAAAAAAAAAAAAAAAAAAAAAAAAAAAAAAAAAAACCTAAAATGTTCATATCCAGTTAAACCTACATTTTTGTTCTAATATGTCTGAAGTGGCATGGAAGAGTGACTGTAGAGAAAAAAAATAAACAAAATTTTGAAGCAGGCCAAATTTACATTTGGAATCATCTATGTATTAAAACACATTTCCTTATAAAAGATTCCCATCCTCAGTTCCATTCCAGATTACCTCCAGTAAGATGGAGATGCTTAAGGTTTAAGGCTCAATGCATCCTAAGGTCATTAGGAAGTCTGAGGGCATAGGTTTGTGTCTGAGAATGTCTAATCAGGCATACAATTCCTGGGAGAGGGAACAAACAGCCAATCTCTCTATTCTACAAATCAGTGGTTTACAAGCTTTTACTAAAAACACAAAAATAAAACTTTTCATTGCAAAAAAATACTCAGAGAAAAATCACATAAAAAAATGAAGAAACTGCTTCATGGCTCCTTTCTTCCTTTCAAAAGAAACTAACCACTAGCCTGACTTTCAAAGAAATCACCTTCTTGTATTTCCTGTTTGTCATCCAAATATGCATTCTTAGATTCTAAAGTTTAGCCTTGCCCATATTTTTAAAACTTGACTGACTTTAACATCTTTTAGTCTACAAGTTACCCCTCTTTCCATTCTTTTATTTTTCTTCATAAAACTTATTACCACGTAACAGAAATTTTCAAGGATGACCATATTTCTACCTTAAAAGATCCTATTATTCTTTAAACATTTCCTCAAAAGTTAACAAAAGTTACCTACACAAAAAATGACAGGGTATAATTAAACATCCTGAGAGAAATGCCCATAGGCTTCAGGCATTATTCAATTCTAAAACACTGCTATATCATATTTTACCTAATTGGTAACATAGCTCAAAACAATTTAAATCTTTTTTGAAGATTATATTAGTCATTGATTTCATAGGTGAAATCATTTTAATTCTCTGATAGCAAAATAAATTCCGTAATTTCCACGCCTGGCCATGACAAGGCGATAGGTTATGGACTTGTTCCACACATCCAACTCCACCATAAATAAACTATAATACTAAACAAAACATATGCATCAACTATTTTCAAGCAGTGGACAATAGTCAGAACAAGATTAAAAGCCTATGATCTGAGAAAGAGGGGAACTACGCAAGATGTACTCATGTCCACCCTGGCTCTCTGCCTGGGCTCAATTTTCCAACTAAGGAAAGGAAAGGTAAAGGCGAAACAGAGCACAGCAATCCAACTGAGCTGAAGAGGCAGAGAATCTTTAGGAGCACAGTTCTAGAAAAAAAGCCTACTGGAGGTACCCCCTGGGTCCCTGGCCTAAGAAAGGGTCGCATATGCTCAGAGAACAAGGCCTAGCAGAGAGCAGCTGCTACAGGGGTGAAATCAGAAGGAAATACTAGACATCATATAACATAGTGAGATGATAGAGTTCTAGCCTACCTTAATGGAAAGATCTCATTTACACTCAGACATTCACCTAAGACACCAAAAAAGCCACCATTAGATATAGGGACAATACCCTAGAGCAGCCTTTCTCAGCCAAGGTTCTAACATGAGAATTAAGCCCTAATGCCCTAAGGCATCCACTATATGCAATGAATTATCCATCTAGAATGGTACTAGTATGACCATCCTTAGAGAACTTAGAAAACAGTAACTCAAATTATTTTCTGCAGTTAGATGAGAAATCCCATTTGAGAAAGAATGCCCTAGATCAAGCACCAGTCTAGATCTGCCTTACCAAAGCCTTAAACTAAGTCTTGACAGGAACAAGGAGAATTGGCAATAAATTAAATGCCTTTCGAAACAAAACTCAACCCTCTTTAAAAAAAAGAAAAACATAATCCAGATACACATCATCCACAAGATCTGGCATGCAATCTATAAAAACAAAATCAACCACAAGACATGAGAAGACAGAAAACTGTGATGCACAGTTAAAGGAGAAAAGTAAAAAACACTCAACAGAAACAGATCCCAATATGACCTAGATATTGGAATTAGCAGACAAGAAAGTTAAAGTGCCCGTTATAAACATGTTCAAGGATTCAAAGAAAAATATGCACTGAAGAGATGGGGAGATCTCAGCAGAGGAATGGAAAGAGTAAAATAATAGCCAGGTGGAAATTACAGAAATGAAAAATATAGTAACAGAAATGAAGCATTCACTGAATGGGCTTAACAGCAGATTGAAGACAGAAGATAGGGTCAGAGAACTTGAAGACACAGTAATACAATCTATCCAAACCGAAATAGAGAAAAAAGATCAGAAAAAAGTGGACAGAACTTTAGCAATCTGTAGTACAGTGTTATACAGGATAAACCATAAGATAAACCATAAGTCAAGTCCCAGAAGGAGAGAATAAGATGAAAATTATTAAAAGAAATAATAGTTAAAAATTTCCCAAATATAGTGAAAAATAACAACCCAAAGATCTAAGAAGCTCAATAAACCTAAAACACTATAAACACAAAGAAAACTAAAACTAGGTATATCATAGTTATACTGCTGAACATCAAAGTTATAGAAAAAAATCATAAAAACAGCCAGAGAAAAATAATTCATCACAGACAGGGGAAGAACGATATGAGTGATGGCTGACTTTTCATCAGAAACACTGGAGGCCAGAGTACAACAGAATGGTATCTTTAAAAGCCCAAAAGGAAAAAAAACTGTCAAACCCAAGTTCTATATTCAGCAAAAATTATTCTTCAAAAACAAGGCTGAAATAAAGACCTTCAGACAAATGAAAGCTGAGAAAAATTTTCAACAGCAGACCTGTTGTTGAGACATATAGGAAGGAATGAAAAGCACCAGAAAAAGGGCTGGCTAGTTAGCTCAGTTGGTTAGAGTCCAGTGCTGATAACACCAAGATTCAGGGTTTGATCCCTGTACCAGCCAGCTGCCAAAAATAAAAGGAGCACCAGAAATGGTAAACATGTAGTTAAATGTTAAAGACTAGCTTATTTAAGGTCAAGTATTCAGATCCCCATACCAGCCAGCCACCAAAATAAAATAAGGTATGGTTTGTAAGGTATGTAGAAATAAAATATATAATAGCACAAGAGATGAAAGATAAATAAAATTACACTTATAAGAGGTTATTATTTGTAAAGTTAAGTGTAAAGAGTAAAATGGTCAGGCAGAAAATAAAATATATTAAAAAATATTCAATTAATCCAAAGGAAGGCAAGAAAAGAGGAATAAAAATAGATGAGATAAATGGAAAATAATGAAATGATAGACTTAAACCCAGCCATATCAGTTACTACATTAAGTGTAAAAGAACTAAAATATTACACTGAAATGTGAAATGGACATTGTGTTTTCTTTTTATCAAGGGTTAAAATAAGAATACGAACATAAGGAATACATTAAACATTTCCCCATCTCTTGCAGAAATGTAATACATAATTAAATACAATTAAAAGGCAGAGATTTCAGACTACATAGAAAAGTACAGGGCCGGCCCGGTGGCGCACTGGATAGTGCGCCGCTTGGGAAGCGCGGCGGCGCTCCCGTCCGAGGGTTCGGATCCCACATACAGACCGGCTCCCGCTCACTGGCTGAGCGAGGCGCGGGAGCAACACCGAGGCTTGCGATCCCGTTGCCGGTCCCCAGTCCGGTACGGGGGCAACACTGAGGGTTGCGATCCGTTGCCGGACACGGAAAAAAGACAAAAGACGGGCCGGCCTGGTGGCGCACTGGATAGTGCGCCGCTTGGGAAGCGCGGCGGCGCTCCCGTCCGAGGGTTCGGATCCCACATACAGACCGGCTCCCGCTCACTGGCTGAGCGAGGCGCGGGAGCAACACCGAGGCTTGCGATCCCGTTGCCGGTCCCCAGTCCGGTACGGGGGCAACACTGAGGGTTGCGATCCGTTGCCGGACACGGAAAAAAGACAAAAGACGGGCCGGCCTGGTGGCGCACTGGATAGTGCGCCGCTTGGGAAGCGCGGCGGCGCTCCCGTCCGAGGGTTCGGATCCCACATGCAGACCGGCTCCCGCTCACTGGCTGAGCGAGGCGCAGGAGC